ATAGGTCGAGTGGTCATTTCTTAGAAAGGTAATGTTCGGATGGGAATCCCTAACCGTTGGATTAGCTTTGTGGAGGCGTGTGTGGAGCACTGCACATTCTCCGTTTTGATTAATGGTAGTCCCACGACCTTTTTCCCTTCTACCCGTGGCCTTCGTCAGGGGGACCCCTTATCCCCCTCCCTTTTTGTTCTGGTGGCTGACTATCTCTCTCGCTGCCTTGACGACATCATTCGCGACTTTCTGAGGATGACCTACAGCATGCGTGGTTGTGGGCCTCTCATTTCCCACATTTCTTATGCGGATGACATTATCATTTTCACTCGTGCGAGCGATAATGGGCTAGTAGATCTCATGAGTCTTTTGGACCACTATAGTGAGACATCTGGCCAGCTAGTTAGAGTTAGTAAGAGCACTTTTATCATGGACCACCACATTGCAGACCATTGGGCTCAGCGGATTCACGAGCGCACTGGATTTTCTCGTGGGGACTTACCCATCCCTTACCTTGGGGGCCCCCTGTACAAAGGCCATCTCTCCCATGAGCTTTTCATCGACGTCCGTCAGAGGATGATTGATCGAATTTCTGGCTGGTCGCATAGACACCTATCCTTCGGAGGCCGGCTTGCTATGATCAAGAGCACTCTTTGTGTCCTCCCTTTTCACCTTCTCGTGGTTCTTGACCCCTATCAGTCTACGATTCATGAGTTAAATCAGATCTTAGCCCGCTATTTTTGGAGCCCCAGCGAGGGCTCGCGGGGATGGCGGTAGACTCACTGGGTAAAGTTGGACTCTATTTGTCGTCCCCATTCTGAGGGTGGGCTCGGGATTCGGCATTTCTTTGATGTTGTCACTGCGTTTTCCTACAGGATGTGGTGGCGCCTTAGGGAGGGAAAGTCTCTTTGGGCCCAATACCTCCTGATGAAATATTACCCTGGTGGAGCTGCCCACCTTTGCAGGGTGATAACCACTGCTCGGGATAGTCGACAGTGGAGACGGCTCACCATTGTTGGCAGGCGTGCTCAGAAGCACATTTTTTGGACCTTGGGTTCTAGGGAGGTTAGCTTCTGGGATGAGTGGTGGTTCGGCGAGGCCCCCCTTTCGAGTACTAGGCTGGTCGCTCACTTGCCTTTCATGCAGGTGAAGGACTTTTGGACGAGGGTATTTTGGGATAGAGATAAGATGGAGGATATTCTAGGTGGGGGTGGGGGGTATCAGTAGACTAGAGATTGACCAGTTCCGACAGATTCCCATTCTGGAGGGAGGTTTGGACGACATGAGGCGGAGACTTACATCTTCGGGTGCATTCTCTACGTCATCGGCCCAGGGAGATGTGAGGCTGGGAAACCGGACTAACCTCCTCTTCGAGGCCATCTGGACCAACCTTTTCACCCGACCACTTCCGTATTTTTATGGCGTCTCCTATTACGGCGCATTCCCATGGACACTGTGATGCAGGCGAGAGGGTTCTCCTTTCCCTCCCATTGCCATTGTTGTGCTGAGACCGGTACCTTTGAGATCGAGACTTTCACCCATCTTTTCCTTGAGAGTGAGATTATGAGGAGAGTGTGGGAGCACTATGCCAGATATACTCATATACCCATACCCACTACAGACAGTTTTTTTAAGCTACTGAGTTTTTTCTCACACAGCACACACAGTAGACACGTGGGCTTCCTTATTCCTTGTGTGATCCTATGGCCTACCTGGACAGAAAGGGATAACGCGAAGCATAGGGTATTATATTTTCTTGTGCTCAAATCATTTTGTAGGTTGATAGACACCTCTCTCTCCTCACTGCCCTGGGTAGACTCACGACGAGAGACTGAATAGGTTGTACACCGCCCCATCATTTGAGGCCACCACCTCCTTTACCTGTCTAGCACCCACGACCTAGGACCGCTGTTTAGCTGAAACCTAAGGCTCCTTGGGTTAAGCTAAACACAGATGGTGCATTCGACAGACATACCGGAGCTGCTGGAGGAGGGGCCTGATTAGGGATCATGGTGGGGCACTCATCTCTGCCTTCCATGGGCCATTCCGGGCCTCCTCGAGTTATGATGCAGAGATTCAGGCGCTCCAGATTGGGCTTGAGATTGCCGCCTCGATCTCCTCATATATCTGGATAGAGATGGATGCTGCAGCTGTCATCACACTTTTGACATCTGGCCACCAAGGCTCGCAGATCCAACATCCTCTTATGCGCATTAGAGATACCCTCCGCTCGTTCCATTACCAGGTCTCACACATATTCCGAGAGCGGAATCGGACCGCTAATTTTCTTGCTAGCACGGGGGCATCTATACCCCAGAGACGCACCCTTCATTCTGAGGACATTCCCCTCCGGCTTCGGACACTCATTCGGATGGACCAGCTAGAGTACCCATCCTTCAGATTCGGAGGACCGCCACCATCTGACCCTGACTAGACTTGTCATTTTGGACCTCATGCCAGATCACTCTGACCAGGACGACCTTTTATGAGGATTTGATTTTAGATCCACATCGGTTTTTTTGTGATCCTTGTACTTTTTCTTTTTCTGTTTTGATGTTGTTCATTATATCTTCGACATTGATGGAGACCATTGACTTTTTAGCCCTCTCTGGGCCATTATTTTCACAGGTCGGGGGTGTAGCCTCAACCCCCCATCCCACACTGAGATGTTTATATAAAAAAATAAATATATATAGGTTGAAATACCTGCCCTAGGAGTTGCCCAGATTTGCTGAGCTGTCTGCCCTAAAGGCTGTCCATCCTGCCCGTCCGTACACATACAGTACGCGTGTGTCAGAAACGATTATTCAGTTGGGACCAATCGGGTCACGCTACGTATCCTCTGCACATGGGATAATGATCATTTCGCATTCTCCTCAAAGGTTCTTGTACTAGACCGTTCTAGGTCGATCTTCAGAATATTTTCGTTCTGTGAGGTGGTCGATGAAATGACCAACTACTCGACACGTCGATACTCGACCAGATCCTCCATGGATCTGAGACCAATCTATCCTTCCCCTACCGACACCTTCCGTGCGCTGTTCTAATGACGTTCGACCAACATCCTTTCCTCGACTCTATTCGACTGGGTCTGCCCGTACGATTTGCTCTGACTAATTAAATCGATTGAGTGGGCCAGTTTAGCCCTTTAGGTATAATATCCCATATCACTATACATGCTTTTATTCATGATAATCCTGACAAGCTCATATGAAGAGAAGCTTAGAGCAGCTCCTATGGCCTTTACATTGCTCTATTTTATTGCCACTGGCACAAATAACCCTATGTGACATGAAAAATGTCTAGAAGTCTTTGTAGAAGTTATTCTAAACATCTTCTATTATATTTATATATTATATTATTTATCTAATGTATCTCTCTTCTCCAACCAATTATTATTTTATAGATCACGCATGGTATTACAATTAAAATGAACAATTGGAGACACAATTTCTTAATTTTCTTTGTCTGTGACATACATACAAAATAGACAATGTTCCATTGGAGACGCTATTTATTCTATTTAAACAGATTTCATGTCAGATGTCCCCAGGCCTTATTTTCTTGTATATGACAAGTTCGGTTATGCTGACAAAAGCATATTTTCAAATGGAAAAATTCTATTGTAGGGCTTAACTTTTTGTTATTGTGTCACAATAAGGCCTAAATTTTCAACCTTTTTCATTTAAGGGTTTCACTTTGAAGTTATTCTCAATGTAAGACATACTTTTACATTTTACTTTTCAATTTAAGGCTCTAAATCACTTTGTATTTTGATATAATTATGTAAACCAAAACTCTTTTTTTTTTTTTTTAAATTTATTTTTAAGTACTTATAATTAAAAATATTAAATATTTAGTAAAATTACCTAATAAGATAATTATTTCATAATTTACGTTTATGCAAAAGATTAATCTAAATAAATTTTAACTTAATTTTAATCCAAATATGTGATAAAATTAAAATATAAATTATTTAGTAAACTAATTTTATTATTTTTCAAACAAACTTATAGAAAATATTATTTGTCAATAAGATTTATATTTTTGAAAAAGTTAAGAATATATAAATTACTACCTATAATAAAAGTTTATTTGTAAAACTAGCTTCTTAAGTAAATTAATTCAAATAAGCTAAATTTATGAAAAATTAATTTAGCATAAATGAATTAATTTTCTTACTAAAGTAATTTTATTAAAAATATTTATAATTATTTAAAATATAAATTTCAAAATAATAGTATTTTGGTTTAGATATTTATGTAAAAATATAATGTGATTTGAAGTCTTAAAAATTAAAAAGTAGAATGTAAAAATAGGTCTTATATTGTGAATAACTTAAAAAATTGAAATTCTCAAATGAAAAAGTTGAAAATTCAAATATTATTGTGATACAATAACAAAAAGTCGAAGATCTGAGATTTTCCCTTTAGTTACTTTTACAAGAAAAAAGATTGTTGGTTGCAAATTGTTATTCGGGCACTATATCACAGGTAACAAGAAAAAACTTTCTGTTCGAACAGAGGCTTGGCAGCATTTGGAGAGGACAAAAACACGATACACAATTGTGGGGTTTTGTTTCGATTTATTATTCTTTAGTCCCTGATGAGATAGAGCCACGTTTCTGAACCTAATATACACCTTATGACAAATCCTAAGCAGATTTTTATGCGCAGTTCGACAACAATGAAGATAAAACTGCTTAGGATAATTCAACATTTATACAAATGAAATAACAGGTTTATTGATGCAGTTTTCTGCACAAGAATGTCTATTTTTGTTGATAGTCACGTGAAAAAACAACATAGCCCCAGCTCTTATAACTGGGTACACACCTATCAAGTTTTAAATACAAAAAAAAAAAA